GAACAGCCCCCTGCGGCACGCGTGTCACAGGTCCCACCACTGCTGCCGTATAAGTACCACACTCTGACCCATGGCACCCCTGGTGCTCCAGCCACCACTGACTGCTAGCGTTGTGGAGTAGTTCCTTTAGAAATGGTTCGCTGGTTAAACTCACTCCAGGTCCTTCTTGCCTCAGATAAGGAGCTGGATGAGACAAGCCACTGAACTGTGCCAAAAGTTTATTTGAAAAACAAGGGGTGAAGCGAGGAGGGGAAAACTGGCTCTGCAGAACGAGCTCGGGCCGTAAGAGAAGAGGACAAAAGGCAAAAATAATAGTGCGCCCTGTGCCTGGGAGACACACGTAGGCCACGGTGAGGAGTCGCAGTAGGAGGCGCCTCCTCACGTCTGTGTCCTTGCACGCAGTCCGCATCTCGTGGGAGCCTGCGAGAAGTTCTTCACAGGAGCTGCTGGCGGTTGTTTGGCGCAGTCCTGGGATTTTGTAATGGACAGGCCCTGCTTGATTTTCCAGGGCCGCAGGCACATGGGGCTGCGCTTGGCCGTTATCTTTTATCACTTCTGGTCTAATTGATTTTTGGTCCGAGACCATGCTTTGCAGTGTATAATGTCTTCTAATTTGGGAAGTGTTTGTTGATTTAGGACGCGGTTTATCTGCGCCGTGCTATGCTCACTGGAAAGAGTGTGTATCTGCTGTTGCCAGGAGAAGTGCTCTGTCAGTGCCCCAGGGCATCGCGCCCTGTTCCTTTACAGCACTGCTGATTCTCTGTCAGCTGCTTTTGTAACCAAAAGGGAGGGTTGGAATCTCTTGGTTGTACTTGTGGAATGCTCTGTTCTTTTCTTTCAGTATTGTCATGTCTTCTTTTGTGTCTTTTGCACTTTTAATATCCTGTGTGTTGGTATAGAGAACTACATCTTTTTGATAAGATATAGTTACCCTTCTATTACATGTAGTATCTTTAGTTTTGGGTTTTTTTTCCCCTGGTGCTGGTGAGCACACCCAGGGCCTCAGGCATGCAAGGCACTTGCTGCATCACTGAGCTGCATCACTGCATCACTTGCTGCATCACTATTCCCAACTCCGTAGTGTCTTTTTTTAACAGTTGTAGTAAAAATCACAAAAATTTTGCCATCTTAACTCTTTCGGGGGTGCTCAGGCTCCAACCCAGGGCTTTGTGTATGCTGAGTACATGCTGTACTACTGAGCCACACCCAAGTGCGCACGTGGCCGCATCTTACCCATGTTCAGGGGTCCATACAGTCAGGTTATCTGTGGGCACATTGCGGCAGATCGCTGGGGCGTTTCTGCTTTGCAGATTGAAGCTCTGTGCCCGCTGAACAGCAGCCCCTCCGTCCCCCATCACCAGCCCTCGGCAGCCACCATCTTACTTCTTTTGTTTAATTAAGTTTACTGGTACATTTTAAGTACACATAATGATCACATTCGTAGGGAATTTGTACCTGTACGTGATACATCTTGGTCCTGTTTTTCCCCATCCCCCACCCTCCCTTCAGCCCTCCTTCCCCTTCTTATTAACAAAAGCTTTGTTTCCATTTTTCCTTTTCTCAGTTTTTCTTTTCCTTTCCTTTCCCCCTCCCTAGTTCCCCTTCCCATTTGAACATTTTCTTCCTATTTCACAATCTCTATTGTACATTTGGTCCTTATTTACACTTTTGGTTTCTCACACCAGAGAAGCAATGCAGTATTTATATATGTATGTCCAATTTATTTCACTTAAGACTATGTTCTCAAGGTGTGTCCATTTACCTAGAGATGTCACAAATTTATCCTTTTTTATGGCTGAGTAGTTCTCCATTGCATTAAAAAACCACATCTTCTTTATCCATTCATTGAGACCATCTTACTTTCTGAGTATTTTAGATGGCTCATGTGGTGGAATCAAGTAGTCTTTGTCTCTTTGTGTCTGACTTGATTTACTGTGTATAATGTCCTCAGGGTTTATTCATGTTGTAGTGATAGGACTTCCTTTTTTAGAGGATGAATAATATTCCATTGTAGATAAACCACATGTTTTTTGCTCATCATTGATGGACATTTACGTGCTTCCACCTCTTGAGTAGATAATGTTATGTTGAATGTGGATGTGCAAATACTATCTCTTTTTTTTTCTTTTGTCTTTTTGAGACAGGGTCTCACTATGCAGCTCTGGCTGGCCTTGAGCTCACTTTGTAGCCCAGGCTGGCCTCGAACTCGCAGCGATCCTCCTGCCTCAGCCTCCTGAGTGCTGGGATTACAGACGTGTGCCACCACTCCCGGCTTCCAAATACTGTCTCTTTGAGGGTCTATTTTTAATTCTTTCAGACATAACCCAGAAGTGGATATCTGGATCTGTTGTAACTCTCTTCCTAAATTTTTGAAGAATGCCATACAGTTTCCATTTCAGGTATACTATTTTACACTCTCATTGGCAGTGTGAAGGGTTTCCAAGTATTCCCGGAGTGAGCACACTGTCATGCACTCCCTCTCCCTCCCTCCCTCCTCCTTCCTTCCTTTCATTCTTTCTAGTACGTGGTGATACCGCAGTTTTGATCTGCATGTCCCTCAGGATTAGTGATGTGGACTGTGATTGCCCGTGCTTGTTGGCCGTACACAAATGTGTATCCTCTTTAGAGAAATGTCTGTTCAAGTTCTCTGCACATGTTTTAGTCAAGTGGCTTTTTATTGTTTTGTTTTGTTTTGTTTTGGTAGCAGGAATCAAACTGAGGACCTTGCACTTGCCGGGCAGGTGCTTATGCCACTGAGCTGTATCTCTGGCCGTTTATTCTTGTTTCTGGCTACTTTTATGCTGCAGTGGCAGTGTTGAATAGCTGTGATGGGGACCATGTGGGCCACATAGCTAAGACAGTTCACTCTGCTTCTCTACAGGAAAAAGATCTTGATCCCTTGCTGTGCTGGTTTTTTTTTTTTTTTTTTTTCTTTCCTATCTGTTCTACCTGTTTGTTCTTTATTGATTCTGAAGCAGAAACGAGAACTTTAAAAAGTTGTTATGGTGGCTGATGCCTACCACGTGATCTGTAAATGCTTCTCTCAGTCACGATTGTAGACCTGACAGCGGGTGTCTGTTCGTCAGCCACTGTCACTGTAACAGAGTATTTGAGCTGATCAGCTTGTGAGGACAGAAGGTTTCTTTGGCTCATAGCTCAGAGGTTTCAGCTTGGCCCCAGTGCCTCTGGGCCTACAGAGCAGAGGGGCGGAGGAAGGGCCAGGGTCCCGCTGTCCTCCCAGACGCCTCCCCTGCTGATCTACAGCCTCCCAGTGCCCCCCTTTGGAAGGTTCCTGCACCCCCAGCGGCGTGCGGCCTGGCCACCCAGCCTTAATCCTTGGGCCGTGGGGATGGCACGGGGACCAAGCTGTAGCAGTGTCTGCGATTCCGTTTCCACCGTGTGCCGTAGCTCGTCACACCTAGTGGCTTCCAGCCGTGCACGTGTTTTTTTTTTTTTTTTTTCGTTTTTCTCCGGTACCGGGAACCGAACTCACGACCTTGCGCATGCCAGGCAGGCGCTTTTGCCGCTGAGCTAAATCCCCAGCCCCCAGCTGTGCATGTTTGTGCCCTCACGGTTCCCGAGACAGAAGCCTGGGCCCAGCTCATGGGTGCTGCAGTGGAGGGTTAGCCGGCTGCCTTCTCCCACAGCAGCTGAGCTCCCCAGCCCACATCTGCCGCAGAAACCTTAGGAAGCTATTAATAACGCCATGCTGTAATCTTATAGTGACCGTTTTGGCTCCTGTCAAAAGCTGGACATTTTGAGATTACCAATAAGAAAAGCAAAAGGTCTAAAGTTTAAATTTCTAAAACTGCATGATGTGTGTGCAGTTTTCTATTCGAAAAGCACCAGTATTTGCAAACATAGTTCAGAGTTTCCTGAGCACTTATAAATGCTCTGCTGTTTTTCACATCTTTCTCAGGATAGTCCTGGAAGAGGATAGGTACTCGTGTTCGTAGATGAAGAAAGTGAGAGCTAGTAAAGCCTGCTAAAGAGATCAAACAGCTGAAGTGGTGGAACGGCTGCTTTTCCTTAGAATCTTTTGTTCCTATCCCCAAAGTAGAATTGTAGCATAGGATTACCGATGGCGTGGATATATATCAGATACTCTTTGATAATGATGTTTGGTTTTATATGTAAATTCTAATAATTTTATGTAAACATGCAAATGAAACGAGGTCTTCATATTACAATGCTGCGGCTCCTGTACCTGGCTGTAGAGTGTCTGATTCTTAGAACACTCCTGTAAAGTGGTATCCCCCTTTCACAGCAGAGATACCTGAGATTTAGGCGAGCTCTCATTTGGCCAGGGCCACGTGATTGGTAAATGGTGGGACCGTGCCCTGGCGTTACAATCTGGCATGGACCTCACTGAATCAAAATAACCTTTCTGCTTTTCCTTTGCATCACTGAATAAAGTTTCTAAACTTAAACTTTTTAGTTCATAGCCTCTCTTCTTGAACGCAGTGCATTCTGTATCTCAAAGTCACGTGCTCTTTGACTCACAGTCACTCTTTTAGCTGCTCAGGCTGGCCTCAAACTCGAGGAGTCTTATGCCTCAGTCTCTGGGGTGCGAGTATTATGGGCATATACCACCAACCACGGTGACTGGGTCATGAGCTTTTTGTTTGTTTGTCTTTTTGAGACAGGGTCTCGATATGCAGTTCAGGCTGGCCTTGAGCTCACTTTGTAGCCCAGGCTGGTCTCGAACTCACAACGATCCTCCTGCCTCAGCCTCCTGAGTGCTGGGATTACAGGCATGCGCCACCATGTCCAGCACTGGGTCATGAGCTTTTGAACTGTTCTCAGATTAAATTTTAAAGAAATTCTTCTGCTGTTATGAAGTAGTTGATGAAGTAAATTATGTGACATAAACAGCATAAAATTAGTATTTTTCCAATAATGGTTGATAGGGTTATTTTACATTAGTAATATTGATGAAGGCGAGTTACCAGTGGTAATTTTTTTTTGGTTTGTCTTTATGTGTGCTTTGTGCTTTTCAGTCTCAGCAAAGTGGGAGGTGGCGGTTCAGTGTGTTTTAAAAACTCCGAAGATTAGCGGCTGCCACCCTGTGTCTTCTCACCTTTTAACAAAGCATAAATGGGGTATTTGAGAAGAAAGCTACATTAAAAGAAGAGTTACAAATGGCTTCAGAATCGGTGACTTGCGGGAAATCAGCTCGGAATCACTTCCCGAAGGGGAAAAGGCAGCAGCCGCAGCCAGTGAAGAGCAGGTCTTCAGTGAGCGACTGTGACGGGGAGGACGCCTTCACCTTTGAGGCTAATGAAGCCTGGAAGGATTTCCACAACTCTCTCCTGCGCTTCTACGAAAATGGAGAGCTCTGTGACGTCACACTAAAGGTGGGGCCCCCGTCCAACTTGCCGCGGCCCCCTCAGTGGATTGTGCCGAAACAAACGTGGGTTTCTGTAATCCCACGTGTCGACATTTTGGTGCTGTCCTTACTCCTTAAGCTTGCAGTGAGTTTAATCTCAGGCACATTTTATCGAAAGGAAAAGGACAAGAGGGAGGGTAAATAAAAAAGGTTAACATGAGCTAATGTGCTAATTTGATGTTGGTATTCGTTAATTTTTAGTTCATTCAGTTTCTGAGAGTTTTGGAACCCTAGAGCAACAAACTGCTATAAATGAATGTTTACCATATCATCTTTCAGCTTGTGAATTAAAAAAATCTTGATTTTTACTTGATTACTTAAAAGAATTTTTGGTTACAGCTATACGACTGTTCTACTGAACGTCACTATTCTAGTAGTTTGGCCTCTGCTTCATTGTTACCATCTGTTAAGTGAGATTTTAAAAATCTGATAATGAAATACAGACATTCCTCCTTAATGACCTAGCTCCGTTCCTGCAAGTAGGTCGATAAATGAATTGGTCCCTAAATGAGGAATTGTATATACTATGTATACTGCAATATTCAGAACAAAGAAATGATCAAAGGAAACTCTGACTGGACAACTTTGCTTTTATTGCATAACTCCTACATTTAGTACTGTCATGTATAACAACATAAAACTACAGTACTGTATTGTATGTTACAAACAGCAAAAATTACAGTACCGTATAAGCAAATGTGGGCCGGGGATATAGCTCAGCAGCGCAGCGCCTGCCTGGCAAGTACAAGGTCATGGGTTCGATTCCCGGTACAAAAAAAAACCAAGTGTACAAAAAGACACTGAGGCTGTATAAACAGGATTTACAGAACTGTACCAAAAAAACAGTCATAAGTCCGAGTGGTGGGTTGTAAGTCTGAACAGTGCACCTGGGTCATAAGTCCGAACAGTCATTAAACGTGATCTTATACAAGGAATAGCTGTAGTCTATTTGGACTTCAGCGAGAAGTCTTCAGTGAGCTTTGCCTGCGGTGTCCAGGATCCTGCTGCTTTGCTAAACAGTCTTACTAACACTGGAGAGATGACAGAGCAGTGGGCAGCCAGTGTGCTGAGGGCTTCCCGCACTGAAGTGCCCTGCATGGTGCTGGTTTTGTTTGATGATTCGTGTGTATCCGTGCATTATTCTCCACGTGCAGTTCGCCCCTTTGGGACCTTTTCGATTTTGCTACTTCTGATGACACACGTTCTCAGAGCTCACAGTGTCTCAGTGATGAGAGAGGGTATAACTGGAGAATCAGATCAGAAGACTTCCAATAAAGAGCTGTAAATTGAAAACACAGGCTTTGAGTTTCAAGCCTAGAACGTCCAGGGATGTAGAGTTCTACTGTGGATAACTGATCTGTAGTCCCCTTCCTGAAATTCATGGTATTCCTAAGTATTTCTAGGCCCCAAAGTATTCAGAAGAAAAACATTATGTAGTTCTACTAGTTCTGTGTGAAATTTAGCCAGGTATATACATATTTTAGTGAACATTTAAGCTGTATGATCCATGTGATACATTATGTTTAATGGCATTGTTTAATTTTTAATCTTAGTGTAAAAGTTAGTAAACCATACTGTCTTGGCAAAAACAAATATAAAATACATTATTTGAATTTAAATTACTGGGTCAACATACCAGTGATTGTATGGAAAATACTTAGAATATTGTTAATTTTACAAATTTTAAATTGGGATTTCAGAATACTCTTTGAAAAGTATATGAACTTGCTTAAGTGAAAGATACGAATGTAGCTACTGTAGGGGAAGTTGGACAGTGTCAGCAGTCAGTTGAAATGAAAATCTTGAGGAGAATCTGTGGTGGAGACTAACTATATTTGAAGCAGTGGCGGAAGTCTTAGGAACAGGAAACACTCCACTAAGGACTGACCATTGTTTTTATTTCTTGAACTGTAAAATTAGGATGATGGTTAATTTTTCGTGAGGTATCAATGAGTTCTTATATGTAAAGCCCTTAGAACTGCTTGGCCCGTACTACCTGATACCAGCTATTATGATAGTTCTGTAAAACGGTACTGTTTCCAAGAGTAGCTGGGATTACCTAGGTGTACTGTCATGCTGGAGACTGAAAATATTTTAAAGTTATATATCCAGTAGCAGCTCTAAAATTATATATGGAAAAGCTTTTGTTTTAAATTTTTTATTTGTGTACTGGAGCTTGAACTCGTGTATAAGCACACCCTCTACCATTGAGCCCTGGGGAGAGTGGATTTAAGACACCAGGTTTTTGGGAGAAAGGGTAGGAGGGCTTGTCCCAAAAGGGTTTTGCACGGCACTCGTTGCTTGGGTTACGCATTAAAGGTCAGTGAAAAAGCATTCACAAGGGTGCTTTTCTCGCATTGTAGGTACTTTGAGGATTTGTCATTCTCCTTACAAAGATCAGGGTTAAATTTGCTTGAAGAAGGTGATGCGATGAGTAGGGGACACCACCCCTGCGCCCGCCCTTGACGTGCCCCCTGAGCGGATCGCATTTATGTGGTTTGCCTCCTTTGGGGGGGGGGGGTACCAGGAATTGAACTCAAGACCTCACGTTTGCCAGGCAGGCACTGCGCCACTGATCTAAACCCCAGCCAGGCTCCTTTTTTTTTGAGAATGTTTGTTTCTGTGATTTTTCGAAAGCAAATATTTGTAGGACCTATTACATCTTTCAGTGGTTTTAAATGGCATAATTATTTGCTGTTGAAACTTCCACCTGATCAGATAGAGTCAGTCAGTGCTCTGAGTGACTGCAGGAAAACAAGATACGCAGCCTGCACTAGGAGAGTGCGTTGCCTGCAAGGTTGAAGTGGACGAATTACTCCGCGGTAACGGTGGACTCCTGGGGAAGCAGAGGCAGTCTTAGTCTGTCTGTGCTGCCACAACAGTACCATCTGCTGTTCTTCTCACTGTGGGAAGCCTGGGAAGCTCACGATCAAAGCACTGGCAGATTTGGTGTCTGGGGAGGGCCACTCCGCTTCTGAGGTGACACTTTGCTGTGCCTCCTCTAGCGAGAAGGACGCTGTCCTTACAGGGTGACGGGCGGGCTGGTGGAAAGGGATGGTCCAGTGCCTGCAGCCCTGTGAAGTGAGGCTGTCCATTCCTGAGGCCAGAGCTCTCGTGATGCATCACTTCCCCTACGGCCCACCTCTTACGTCACCACTTCTTACGTCACCACCTCTTACGTCACCACCTCTTACGTCACCACCTCTTACGTCACCACCTCTTACGTCACCACCATGGGGTTAAGTTTTAGCATGAATTCAGAGGAAGTGTAAGACCTCAGCACAGGCATGACAAAGTACAGATGATAATGGAGAAAGTGATCCTGTCTTTAGCAAGCATTATATGTTAAGGATTCTTTGATAGTCTATATTAAATGATGATTGGCTTTACTTTTGCCTGTTCAGCAAATTAAATGAGTATTTTGATCTTCTTCATATTGCTCTGAAGGTAGAATTTAAATATATATCTTCCTAGATCCTTGTTTATTTGACTGTCCAAATGCTCTCTAAACTGCTCTTTTCTATTATGTAGGAATTTAAATGATGGAGTGTAAGGTTAGCGAAGATGGTTGTGAATATGTAACAGTTCAGTACAAATCCAGACATCATCTCGAGTGTAGTAAAGGACATGTGTCTAACTTCTCTTCTATTTTAGGCCTACGCAGGAAAGTACACTTTTGGGGGCCAAAAAAATCAGTGGATTAAAATTAGTGGATTATTTTTTAAAAGTGGCTAATTGAGTTAAAAGAGAAAATTTAGAAGGGATTAAATTGAAAAATTGGAATATAACTTACAAAGATTTATGATAGGAGATTTGGGTAGAAGTTTGTTTTTTGTCTTTCTGTTAGACTTTGGTTTTTCTGTAGTTCTTATTTCAGTGTAGTCTCAAACACTTGGTGAGAGTGCTGTTAAGTAGGACAACTAGAACTTCTCAACCTAATATACTTTAGTTTTTGTTTGCTTTCATGATTTAAAAATTTTTATTATGTTCTTACATGATTTTAACAATCCTTGTTAGACTATAAAATTATTACCTAGAAATGAAGTAAGCACTGTAAAAATAACTAGTGCATGAAAAAGAGTTCACAAAGTAACCACACGTTGGAAAAGTACTAGATAAGAAGTAAAATGAAATCAATTCAGTTGTTCACTTGTTAGCATATTGATTATTTAAAACATGTGTTTATTGCTTTTGAAATTTTGACGGAGGAGCGTTCCCAAACATTGTTAGCAGGTGTGTAAATTGGTTCCGTGTTTCTGGCAGGCAGGCTGGCATTGTGTGTGCCCAGCTGTAAAAAGTTTATTTTTTGGCTCATTAATTTTGTTTTTCAGATTTTACCTCAAGGAGATATTCTGAAATGCCAAAAAACACTCTCCTCTAAGATACTGTTTGCATTTAAAGTATGGAAAAATTAACAACCATCTAACGGCTAATATCAGGATGGTCAGTCACATTATATGTGCTGTAGAGAATAGCATACCTTCAATAAATAGGAGAATACAGAAGGTTTCAGAGAGTTGAAAAAAGATTACACATTCAGTAATATCTCCGTTACTTTTCAAAATCCATAGGGAAAATTCGGAAGCAAGCACACCAACAGATCGACAGTCATTGAGTGGTATTGGTGTGTTTTCCTTTGTACTTTCTGGATTTCACATGTTCAGCATGTATGTAAGTCAGGTAAACACCCTTGGAAAAGGGAGTCACCTTCACAGTTGGCGAAGAGACAGGTTTATTCTGTAAGTCAGAATTGATAGTCAGTGGAATTTTAAATTTTTTTTGTTAATTTGTATTCTCTTCATGTCATTTTTAGTTCATTTCACCTTATTATTCAGCAGGTCATTTACTGTTTTCAAGTAGATGTCCCCTGAGTTGGTTATGCAGTTTTCCTGCTTGGACCAAAGGATGCTTGGCTTTGCCCTATGCGTGGCTGACCTAAAAGCCTCGGTATTGTCGTATTTTGACCCGTGACAGCCAAGACATGAAACAATACTCAAGGTTTTGTTTAGGCAAGTGCTCTGTCACTGAGCCACATCCCCAGCCCATAAGGTTTTATTTAATAATTTGTATTTTAAAGTTGATATTCTCCATATTTTACTACTTCAGTTTAAGACATGGTTTTCTCTTAGTACCTTATTCATGTTCACTCACCTAAGAAAAAAATTAGAAAATTCATTAATAGCAAGGACACATATGTATAATATAGTATCTGTGATTTAAATCATATAGTAGTGTATAATACTTTGTAGCTTGTGTATTTTTCATTCAGTTTTAAACACCAAATTTGTGTATTTTTTAATCTTTAGACTTCAATTCTTTTCTGATGAAATGTTCTTGGTAATAGATAATTATTTTTACATACCAAAGAAAAACACATAGAAATAAACTTTTAAAGAATGTAATGAGATTATGTAACGTCAGGGAAGAATTGGTGCATTAAAAAGTCAAATTTCTGGATGTTCATATTCATACATATGGTTCAGATATTCTTGAAGATGGATTTTTTTTTTTTTTCTAAAAGGACACATGAAAATCTGTGTGTGTGTCTGAGGAATAATCACATTTCAGATTTGAATCAGGGAATTATAGGGTTGTGGTGGGACAAAATACTATGCAAGTGAACAGGAAAATAACTTGCTGGCCATCTATTTATATAATTCAGATGTAAAATCAGTGTTTAAATAATGGTCCTGTGGGAATTGCAGAGCCCCATTGTATAGTACTAGTGTGTAATTGAGTTTTGGCAAGTTATATAATTGAATAGATTTATGTCATATGAGATTAATTGATATTTTCTTTGAAAACTAATTCCATTGGTGGCATGTTCAAATAATTTTTAGAATATTGTCGGTGATTCAAAATTGCTTAGTGTCGGATTTCAGATCCCATTTTGGGGCGGTGTGAATTTGAAGACGCGTGAAGCATTATGTGGTTATGTGTTACAGCTGAGTCTCCATAGAATCAAATTCCTACCTGGTGAATTGTGTCTAAAAATTAAATAGAAAAGAAATGATCATCTTACACTTGTTGAAGTAAGTGATATTTATTCTTGGGTGAGGAACATCTACAAGCAATGTCTTCTGTACATTAGAATGCTCCTCAAGCCTCTTTAGATCTCATTCTAAAGTTGCCAAACACCGACACATAAGCTTGTTATCTAACCAAAACACTAATTGGAGGATTGTTAAAATAGTGCCGTAGTTCTTCTGAATTATTTACGACAGTGTGCTAGGAAGACTGGAGAACAACTGTATTCAATAGGAGAGGCTGGGACACAGGTCTGGACCACATGCCTGGCATTCAGGGGACTTGGCTTCAATGCTCAGTACCCCGAAGAAGGGATGGCGGTCACAAAAGTTGTAGAAGGAATATATGAAATAAATACGCAACTCTACAATTCCCATTTCAGACAATGACATGCTACCTAAGGAAGAGATCAGAAATAAGACTGATTTGACTTTATAAGAATCAATAGGAAGAGAATATTTGCAAGGAAACGATAAAAAAGACGATGAGCTTAAAATATATATATGACAAACACCTAATACTCTAAATGTATATATTATTACAAACAACTAAGCAATAATATAGTACATAAAATACAATAGCTCAAAATGTATTAGTGATTTAATCTTAATAAAAGAAAGCTGAGCAGTAAGATAATGTTTTCATTAGTCAAATTGGCAAGTGTTTCTTGAGTTGACACCTAGAGCACGGCACACATGCAGAAAGTAGTTCACACATGTACAGTTCGGCCCTCATGGCCATATTGAACCTAGTCTTTGAGACAGAATTTTTATTTATAGGAGTTTGTGGGAAATCCAAGAAGGTGGAATGAGATTCAGTTGCACAGACGTTCACTACTGTGTTTGAATGGCACACGATTAGACACGCTAATGTTTGAACAGTTACGGGGTGACATTTCAGTGTTTTATTTCTACTGCTTTTATATGAGATATATCATCTCAAAGAAATGTAAACACGCTGTAAACACCTCAGCTGAGATCTTAGTAAATACTACTAGATAGTATTTACTTTGTGTTTCCATCTTCTGATTGGTAAATTGTGCATAGTAGTACGTAGTACCTGCTCATAGGGGTGTTGGGCTAGTTGACTTAGTATATGAAAAACACTTTAAAAATGCCTGGCATGGAATAAATGCCAAATGATGTGTGCCACTGTTTTCAGTAACTCACAAAGTGCTCCTGAGAAATGAGATAACATTGAAAAATCATAGCTCATTTTGTGAACATTATAGATACAGAGAAGTGGTTGGAAGAAGAAAATTGCCAGAGTTTAGAAACTGGCCGAGACCGAACGTAAGTGACCAAAGAATTGCATTATTAAAACAATGCTCTGAATGATCTGGAGTTTCTGTCCCTCCTGCAGGGTAAGCTCTATGCTGATCCGAAGCTGATTTTGTATCATTACAATGCAGTTGTTGGTTTGTTTTGAACAGGTTGGCTCAAAGCTCATCTCCTGTCACAAGCTGGCCCTGGCTTGTGTTATTCCCTACTTCAGAGCCATGTTTCTCTCTGAAATGGCAGAAGCCAAGCAGACACTGATTGAGATCAGAGATTTTGATGGCGACGCGATGGAGGACCTGGTGAAATTCGTCTACTCCTCGCGGCTCACACTGACCGTGGACAACGTCCAGCCTCTCTTATATGCGGCCTGCATCCTGCAGGTGGAACTGGTGGCCAGAGCCTGCTGTGAGTACATGAAGCTGCATTTCCACCCCTCCAACTGCCTAGCAGTGCGGGCCTTTGCGGAAAGCCACAACCGGACGGACCTCATGGACATGGCCGACCAGTACGCCTGCGAACACTTCACCGAGGTCGTGGAGTGCGAGGACTTCGTGAGTGTGTCGCCCCAGCACCTGCACAAGCTTCTATCCTCCAGCGATCTGCACATTGAGAACGAAAAGCAGGTCTACAGCGCAGCCATCAAGTGGCTTCTCGCCAACCCCCAGCATCACTCCAAGTGGCTGGACGAAACCCTGGCGCAGGTAGGGCCGCCGGGAGATAGTGCACGGATGTGTGGGGAAGTGAAAGCAGCTCGGTATGTTTTGTTTATTATGGAAGGTGCAGTTTATTTGACGGAATAGAGAAGACGTCGATGTGTGTGATGACGGAAGCGGTGTAGCTCTTTGCCGTGTTCACTTCCTGTACTGTTGAAAGATAGTCTGGATTTGTCACATGTGAATGATTTTTAACCTGAGATGTAAAATATTCCTTTGAGGTTGCAGTAATGAATATTATATTTACGCTAATAAAAATGGTTCTGAGAGAATAATCCAAAGTAATTTATAACTTTTATAATGAAATTTCTAAATTTTATTGAATTAACTTGCTCATGAAAATATGGTTATAATGGATAGAGACTTATTCTGGAAAGAACCATAAGACATCAGGCTTTACTTTCTGAGATACTGTTACTCCCTCATCAGTTGGGCTTTGTTCACCCTTAGAAGTGTATTTTTTATTATTTTTAATTGTTCACTTGGACAGGGAGCTAACAAATAGGCCCGTTAGGCTCTGAGTCTTGTCTTTCCCTTTATTTTCTTTCCCTCTACTTCCGTCTATTCTCTGTCCCTCCACTCTCCCCTTCCACACTTGATTTATTTTAAGAAAAACGACACTACTTAAAAGACGATTATTTCTATTTATTTATTCTTTAAAAATTAAATACTTTGTTAAAATTCGAAATTTGATAATTATGCCAATGTTTAATAATTTCTCATTAGCATTATAAAATTTTAAAACTCAAAACAGACTTGCTTATAGTTACCACTGATCTCATTTTAGATATTTATAGGCAGAGAAGTAACCCTATTCAAAGTGTGATTATAATTAGACTGATATTTTTAAAGTGCCTATAGCGGTATTTTTATTTTGTTCTTGTAGTGAGCGCTGGGCGTGGAATCCAGGGTTTGCACATGCTGACGTGCTCTGCCGCTGAGTTAACACTCCCATCCTAGATGACTTTTTAAAAGAACATACTGCTGTGATAATGACGAGCACACTATTTTGTTACTATTTACATTTTACATTGCTACTATTCATGATCTTAGGTTCGTCTGCCATTATTGCCGGTTGATTTTCTTATGGGTGTAGTGGCGAAAGAACAGATTGTCAAGCAAAATCTAAAATGTAGAGATTTATTGGATGAAGCAAGAAATTATCACCTTCATCTGAGTAGCAGAGCCATACCTGACTTTGAATACTCCATTCGGACTACCCCAAGGAAGCACACTGCAGGTAATCACTCACTGATTAATTCTTTTGGAAACATGTTTGATGTATTTCAGAGTTGCTTATATATGTCCAAATAAATTTGCATCTGATTAAAGTAACAACTGGCAAATAAGCTTATATATTCATAATTCTTGCTATATATGATATAGACAGCTTTAACCAATAGACCAAAATTGTAAGAAGCCTTAACGGATAGGTCCTATGCTCTGAAATCGGTCTTTCTTAGAGCTCCTCCTTCAGTCTTCGGGTAGAATTAGCTCTGCTACTAGTGCCTTGGAACACTTTTTTTATTTGAATTTGAGTTCTTCAAAGATAGGTAAGTGTATTACATAGGTTCATCTCCTTAGTGCCAAGGTAGAGCTTGACACATGTTTAAATATTTGGTTTTGCATTTTACAAAATCAAAAAAAAGGCACTAAACATGTGTATCATTTGTGTAATGGATCATATTGGACTCTTAGAATCTAAAGGTCTTACATTTTAGGAGGCATAGAGCTTCACCTTTGCCATAATTTTTAGGTTTTCTGTTTTCTCAGGAGAGTGGTTCGTGTTTATGTGCATTTTTTATATTTATAAAGCAAAGCGTATTTGAGGCCTGAAGCCATGTAAGTCCTGCAGTTCCGGAAGAGGAACTTGGAGTAGAGACTTCCTCTGCTGCCTGTTCAGAGTTATCACTCAATAGAATCTGTGATAGCACAGGAATAATAAAAGACGGTACTTGTGGAGCTAGTAGGATTTTATCTGGGTAATATCAGGAAAAGGTGAAGATAAAATTCTTCAAATCCAGTTTGTTTTAGTGTTGGGAATTGAACCCTCATAAATGTGAGGTGAGTGCTCTGGATGTTGAGATTTGACGCCAACGCCTTAGCAGTGTCAATTGTATGCAAGGATATGCTAGGTACACACGTCATTTCGCATGAGTACAAGAACTTTGTGTAACAGATTAAAGAAGGATTCAGCCTTCATTAGGAGATAGACATTGCTCCATTTTATGGGTAAGGAGGTTGAGAGGTAAGAGAAGTTAAAAGTATGCAGAAGCCATACCGGGAAATAACAGGGAAAGGGTTTGCATCCCGATGCTTTCACTTCTGCGTCATTTGTGTTTTTTTTCTTTTATACCATGTTTCTTTTTTTTTTTTTTTTTTGGTTTTTCTCCGGTACCGGGAACCGAACTCACGACTTTGCGCTTGCCAGGCAGGCGCTTTTGCCGCTGAGCTAAATCCCCAGCCCCAATACCATGTTTCTGAGTGACTGGTGGCTCCAATACTAGTTTCCACTTCAAACATAATTGGAGATGAGGCTACCTTTTAGGGTTACACCTCCAGCAGTACTGTTAAATATCTGTAATTCAAGACAAATTTCTTAACTTCTCAAGGCCTCAGTTTGTTTATAAACAGTTTGACTACATAATCTTTAAAATCCCTTCTGACTTTAAGCTGTTCCTGAGACAGTTAATTTTGTACAAAGCTGAGCTCTTTGCCCCGCTGCGGGGAAGAAGAAGATCACAGACGGAAGGAGGAGGCTAGGAGAGCGCTTTTTGGAGCTAGACCAGAGCTCCTGCTGGGGGCTCCTGTGGGGGGTTCTGGAAGTGGGCCCCGTCTTGTTTGGGCCTTGTGCACAAAAGCAGAGTTGTTTTCAGCAGGTGGTTTTGTGGGCTTAGGGTCTAAAAACATCAGTTATTTAGGTGGAAATCCAAGTTCAAAGGAAAGGAAACCGGTTAGTCTGGATTTCTAAGGTTTTCCAAATCCAGCTGGGAGGTGAGGGAGCAGCTGGCAACTCACTTAGCATACCTTCTTCTGGGGAGGAAGGATCCTTATCTTCTCTCTTTAACTTTATCCTCCTTGTGTTTACTTTCACACTTTCAAGCGCAGCTAGTTCTTTGTCTTAAATTAGCTCTTCACTCGCATGTGTGCTGTTTTCTTTGTATTTAACTGACTCTGTCTTAGGCCCATCCTTGTTACACTCTGACTTAAAATATTGAATTAGTTGAAAAAGATTGCGGAAGTGTAGTCGTTCGTTTGTGCGGTCGTTCAGCAAACATTAAACATCTGGGTGGGACACTGGAAATGCAAACACAAATAGAATGCAGCCAGACCTCTTGGGAGAACTTGCAGTCTTGCCCAAGGAAACAGGCATTGAGTGAAGTCTTACAGGTGCTTTGATGTACTGTAGTCAGAGCATTGTATAGAACGGTGCACAAGGAAGAGTGGTGATTCTTATCTCGGGTCATAAAAGGTTTTATAGAGAAGGTTAACCTCAGTATTAATGTTGAACCAGGCCCAGCAATGTGTTTTATGCCCTTCAAATAATTCTGAAAGTTTCCGATGAAAAGTTTTTTTTTCTTTAAATTGTGGTAAAAATATATAACATAAAAGTCACATTGTAACCATTTTCAAGTGTACAATTCAGTGATGTTCTCCAAAAGCCTTTAGTTACATTTTTCTGTTGGCAGTCTGAGAGCAGTGACTTCCGAGTGGAGAGAGGGGAAAAGTGCGTGCAGTACTTTGCGTGGGTGACAGCCTAGAACGGAGACTGCGGCGGGGCAGAGGGAGCAGGGGAGCGCCCTGCAGGGAAGGGAGGTCTGGGAGGCCAAGCCGGCGGGGAGCGGAGGCGTCCTGGCCCAGGTGCCTGTGGGACATCGAGTAGAAACGTAGCTTGCAAATAGAAATAGGGGAGACGGTATCCTGGAGATGGGATTTAAAACCAAGGGATGACTTTTACCTGTGTTGTTAGTTTAGTAAATTATGTGCGGAATGGGCCAGGAATGGGATGTAGAAAACAGAGGAAATGTTTGGAGCCTAAAGGAGACTTAATATTATAGGCAGCAAGAAAGTAAAGATTTTCTAAAAATACAGGGCGATACACCTCAGGTGTTATATTTGGGTTCAGTGAGCAACAAAGCTGGTCATGTTGGTGATCCACCTGTAGTCCCAGCATTTGGGAGGCTGGAGCAAGAGGATCCATGCAGATTTCAAAGCTGTACTGGGTCACATGAGACCCTGCCTCAGAAAACTAAACCAAACCAAAAAAAACCGCGAGCGCAGCACCTGCCTGGCAAGCGCAAGGTCCTAAGTTCAGTTCCTGGTACCAAACAAACAAACAAGCCCAACACAACAAAAGGAATTAAGCAGGACGTCATGGCACAGGCCTAGAATCCCGTTACTCAGGGAGGCCTAGGTGGGAGGATCCCATATTTGAGTCTCAAAATAAAATGGGCTGGGGTTGTAGCCCCGTGTGACGGCCCCGTATTCAGTCCCCAGCACTGGGGGAAAAATAAATTATATAAAGGTTTTGTTATGACCTAAGCAAGAGCAGTTTTCCAGAGTGAGTGAGGATGTAAATCTTCTATAATGGGATATGAGAAAGCTGATGGGGCTTGGGAGGGGGATTAGATTAGATTTTAGTAATGCCACATCAAATATCCAGTACCTCATCTTTTTTTTTCTTTTTAACCATTACTCAGAATTCTGACTTCCTAAATATTTTCCACATGAAAAAAAAAGAATTGAAAGCTGTAATTCTGATTTGGATCTTGGCTTTCCCCCTAGGCGTGCTGTTCTGCGTCGGGGGTCGAGGTGGATCTGGCGACCCCTTTCGCAGTATTGAGTGCTATTCCATCAACACAAACAGCTGGTTCTTTGGACCCGAGATGAACAGCCGGAGGCGACATGTGGGTGTGATCTCTGTGGAAGGTGGGTCTGCAGTTGGCTAAGACCACATTTTCTGATTACAGTGCTCTTTTTAAAAATTTGAACTTTGAGACTTTTTTTCCTAAGAAAATGGGTAAAGTGTAAAATACTTTTCAGTCTGTCAGTAGAGTATTTGGGTAGTGATCAGTGAAAGCTTATATTGGCTCTCATTTGACTGACGGAGTGACATTGATCATACTTCTGAGCAGAGTGGCAGTTGTTGGGGATTATTATGGCATGCCAGCTGTATGTGTGTTCGTGTGTAAGTAGCACCCGTGTTTGCTGGAACCAGTTACAGTGCTTATCGGTTTGCAGGTAAAGTGTATGCAGTGGGGGGACACGACGGGAACGAACACCTGGGCAGCATGGAGATGTTTGACCCTCTCACCAATAAGTGGATGATGAAGGCCTCGATGAACACGAAGAGGTAGATCCGCCCGGACCCTTCTGAGCTGACTGATGCTGGAAAATAAAGCTGCCTCCAATGAGAAGGCCTTATTGTAAAATTGTTCGCAAGTTCTAGGAACTTTGCCCTCTCCAGCCCCCTCTCCAGCCCTTGTTAAAGTATCCAAAGGGAAGGTTTGCTACAACTTTTTATATTTTTTAGGAATGGGATCGCATAGTGGTCGTTACAGCTTCTACTTAAGCATTTCTGTTTTAAAAAAACGTATTGTTTGAGATAGTTCTATATGTTTAGAAAGTTTCACTGAAATACTGGAGTTTCCAGGTCCTCGTGGTTTTCAGGTGAGGGTGATTTTCCCTCTCTGTGGAATATTCGGTGGGGGTCTGAAGACGTCTTTGGTTGTCACAACTTGAGCGTGGGCAGGTTGTGGCTGGCATCTAGCCGCAGGGATAGAGGTCAGAATGCTGCGGGGAGGCCGCAGTGCACAGGGCAGCCCCCGCCTGCAAAGACTTCTCTGGCCTCATCCTCCTTTCACGGTGCCGTGGTAGAGCATGCCCCATACGTGGCCTCCGCTTAGCCTCCTGTGACGTTGACCTCTCCCACAGCCGTTGTATAGCGACTGAAGTTGGTATTAGAGTTACGGTGCTGCTAAATAATCCATAGACAGTTTCAGACTCTGCCGACTTTCCCACACATGCCTCTGCTTCTGCTTGCTTTTGCTTGTCTAATTATATTAGCTGATAACTTAATACAGTATGAGTTAATTGAAGAAGCAGTAGGTGTTTGCTTGTTTCTGGTCTTAGTGGAATGTTTTTAGTGTTTCTCTGTTAAATAAGACACTAACTTTAGGACTAAAGTGCGTATGTTTTATTATGTTATGAAAATGTCTCAATTTCTGTTTTCTTTAATGACTTTGACATGAACATTAATATCTCAAATTCTCATCTGTAGTAAATTAAACTATATGTTGGTAAATAGATAAATCAAAAAGGGAGAAGATTTTTAGTTACCTGATTTATATTGTAATCTGTCCAACGTTTTTATTAATAACTAGAATGTCAAATTGAAAGGAGGAAGGGTAGTAACATGAATCCAATCAGGATTCAAAAAACAAACATAAAAACAGAATAAAAGATTAGACCCTGTACATCTTAGAAAATTTGTTTTGGGTGGTTGTTCTATCATGCTGGGGGCATAGCTTAGAAGTAGAGGGCTTGGCTAGGACACCATAAAACAACAGTGATAAAGTAGACCAAATATATAATAGACAAAGTGTTGTCGTTGGGGTTTGCAAGGAGAACACTACAGTACAGGGCACATTATTTATAGGATTATTTTATAGTAGTCACCCAAAGAGTCAAGTTCAAAAGAGTGCAGGAAATCTGTCCACACACTAAAGACCCAAAGATTTGAGCTGAGGGCCTGGATCCCCCGGCAGTGTTCTCCAAGAGTCTAGCTGAAGACCTAGAGCCCATGACAGTGCCTCCCTTGAGTCCAACCGTAGCCAAGAGCCCATGACAATGTCTCATGCAGGCGTATTTCACAGTGCTGGAAAGGCCCCAGGTCAGTGGTGGAATCTAGAAAGTCTGTGCCCGCGGGATGAAGGATCTGTGCTAGCAGGCTGAGGGATCTGCACTGGAGCCAGGAAGTGACGCTCAAAGTAAAGACCCGAGCTCCCCTGAAAAGTTCCACAGCATCCTCAGCAACAGGGAGGTCCCGAGCTCCTCTGACGATGAGGACAGCTGAGTTCCCATCAGGAAAGCCAATGCAGCAGGCTTCGTCAGGAGACTGAGCTGTGCACCTTCTTCCCCTTTGGAGCCAGGAAGCGATGCTCAAAGTGAGGACTAGAGCTCTCCCAAAGTGAACCATAGCCATTGTCAGTGACAAGGTCCTGAGCTCCTCCAGCGATCGAGAACAGCTGAGTTCATATCAGGAAAACCAGCGTGACAAGCGTTTCCAGGAGAACCAACAGCCCCAGGAGAAACAATGGCTCCCTAACAGCACCTAACTTCTCCCTCTCCAGGTCTGCTTCTTATGCTGCCGGCAACAATCCCCAGGTGGGCCTCCCACACCCCACACCACGCCGGTTCGTTCAGCTGGGTGTTACAAGTTGACCTCCAGTTATTAATCTACCACACAAAATCTAACAAATATCAAAATTAGAGTAATATGCTATAACCTACTTTTTGATTTTTTAAAAAAAATCAATTGTACCAGTACAGCATGGTGAAAAATCGGGTTGGTCGTGTTTCACATGGAGAAAAGCAGTTGAGCTTTTGGAAAAAGGGAGATTGTAGTCCTAATGTTCTTTCTACTGGTCTTTGCACAGCTGCAGCTGTGCTCATGCGGGATGGGTACCATGAGTTTGGGCATGGGAGTAAAGGATTAGACTCTGTACATTTTAGAAAATTTGTTTTGGGTGGCTGTTTTATCATGCACTTAATCTGTTAGAGCAGTGAGACATGTCCTTAAGTTGAAAAGAAAGTGTATGGGGGAGGCATAAACTCGGTCGGGTGCAGGTCTGAGAGCCGTGATTTGCAGTGGGGGAAGTGAGGCCGGCCAGGGCAGCGAGACGCCTGAAGCCACATCTCATACAGACTGCTGAAGGGCTTGGGTCCAGAGACGAGGACTTGGAGGAGCAACTGGACGATTTAAGGGATGTACATTGTTCTAGCAGAAGGAATAAATGTTTATTTCTAATTCACTGTAATAAATAGCAATGAAATATACTGTAGTTCCACCCACTGACTGACATTGTATGTTGGAAACATCACATATGCATTTTCTTCCAAATGGAAGATGAAGTTACCGATTATTTCCTCTTTTCAAATTTAAAATTCAGCAGAGACAGCAAAGATTGGAAAGGCTGAGAATAATAATTGAAGTAACAGAAGAGACTATCAACTGCAGTTCTGTTAAAAGAAGCAAGCCAAAGCTAAAAACTCTAAGCTCCAGCATTGCAGCTTGTATGAGTTGCAAAACTAAGCACCATTCTGTAGAAGTTAAAAATGATTTGTCATTAAAATGACAATTAAAAAAAATAAAATGAGCAATCTTTAGGGCTGGGATGTAGCTCAGTGGTGGGATGCCCCAAGTTTGACCCCCCCCACTAATTAAATACCCCCACACAGAAAGCAGTTTTTAACAGCTCTGCGTCAGAGTACATACCTGCCAGCTTTCTATTCTTGATTAACAACATGGTTTTTTTTTTTTATTATTGGATTTTGTGTATTAAAGTATGAAAGGTAAGATGGAAATTAAAAGCGAGCTCTGCTAAAAATATTTTTAGCCTTTTTTCTACTTAGGTGAAAGACTCCTGGGGGGAAAGCTAGTCCTAAAAGGTACTGTTACCTGTCGTTATCTGCAAATGACACTTTAATACTTTACTAAGGCTTGCTTTATATGGGATAGTTAAATTTCAATGCATGGATTAAAATGAGGGGGGAAAGCCGAGCAAAATAGCAGTTGAATTGCTTTAATTTTTTAAAAATCCTGAGCATTTACAATAGCTATACAATAGTATAAAAATAATACAGCTGAAGGGGCTGGGGATTTAGCTCAGCAGCACAGCGCCTGCCTGGCAAGGGCAAGGTCTTGAGTTTGATTCCCGGTACCGGAAGAAAAACCAAAAAAAAAAAAAAAATGCAGCTGCAGTTATTTGGTCACGTCGTTTGCTTATCATTTGTATTCCTCCAAATTGTTTTTTTTTACAATTAAGTTCATTCATACAGTTTAGACACATAACGGTCATAGGGGATTTTATACATATTCATCATAGGGAATTTGTACCTGTGCGTGATACATCTTGGTGTCTCTTTTTTCCCTGTTCCCCTCTCCTCCCTTCAGCTCCTCTTGCCTTTACTTACAAAGGCTTTGTTTCCATTTTATCCTCATTTCTTTCCCCCTCTCGCTTCCCTCGTTCCCCTTTCCTTTTGAACAGTTTCTTCCTGTTTCATAATCTCTGTTACACGTTTTGGTTATTTACACTTTCAGTTTCTCACACCAGAGAAACAGTGAAGTATTTGTATATGTGTCCTCATTTATTCATTTAAGAACATGGTCTCAAGGCGCATCCATTTACCTATAAATGTCTCACATTTATCTGTTCTTATGGCTGAGTCCGTTGTATAAAAAAACACATTGCTTTTATCCATTCATTGGTTGATGGGCATTGGGGTTGTCTTCAAAATTTAATTATTACAAACTATGTTGCTGTGAACATGGGTACACATGTATCACTGTGGTATGGTGCTTTCAGCTGAGTCCAGTGGGACCTCTAGTCCTAGTTTTTTGAGGAATCTCCACACTAATTTTCCCAGATTGCACCAGTCCTTTTGCCCCACAGCCCTGTCAGCATTTGTTATTGGCTAATTTCATTTTTCTTTTTTTTTTTTTGAGACATGGTCTTACTATGTAGTTCAGGCTGGCCTTATACTCACTTATGGGGCCAGGGATATAGCTCAGCAGCACAGCGTCTGCCTCACAAGCCTAAGGACTTGAGTTTGATTCCTGGTTCAAAAAAAAAAAATATATAACCCTGGCTGCCTTCAAGCTCATAGTGATAGTCCTGCTTCAGCCTCCCAAGTGCTGGGATTATAGGCATGCACCAACATGTCCCATAGGTGATTTGTTGATAATAATCATTGTTTCTTGAGTGAGAAGGAATCTCAGTGTTGTTTTACTTTGCATCTCTCAAATGACCAGAGATGTTGAACATTTTTTCATATATTTATCATGTATTTGTACTTTATCTGAGAAGTATGTATTCATCTCAGATGCCCATTTTTGGATTGGGTCTTTAAATTTGAGGGGCCTGATACTGTTTAATTCTTTATATGTTCTAGATATTAGTCCTTTAAGGAACAATTGGCTAACACTTTTCCTACTCTGGGTTGTCTTTCTAAACTGTTGATAATTTCTTTTGCTGTGTAAAAGCTTTTTAATAAGATGAGATCCCAGCTGTTGATTTTCTGTGGTATTTCTTGTGCAGTCAGGGTTTTGTTCATAAAGTGTTTGCCTAAACC